TACAATTTTTCAAATATCATTGTTTGATATCAAAAAGAAAAGCCATATTTAAAGATATAAGATAATCATAACTTATTTAGATAATATAATAAATAATAAATAAATTATAATTATAAATTGTACGGGAAAACTAAAAATGTAAACATAAGAAATTATTAGAATATAAAAAATTATTCAATCAATAGAAAAAAATTATAGATTGATATTCACGTATTATTGATATAATTAATTAAATATTAATAGTACAATAAAAAGAATAATTTATAGGTATGAATTTATAAAACAAAATTATCAAACAAATTTAGGATTGTATTGAGTTGAGATGATTGATATAATTATGAAAAACATAAATAAAATGAATTATTCATAATGTATTTTTAATACAAATTTATAGAATTTAAGCAATTTATTAAATCAATTTATATAAGTATAAACTTAAAATTGTTTTAATTAAAAAAATAAATAGACTACTTATTTAAGATACTTATAAATATTAAACTCATAATAAGATAATTGTAGCATAATAAATATAATCTCATAATATTATTATATATAATATTTAAACATATAATGATGTTATTTAACATTTAGGAGGAAACTTTTGGACTATACATTTGTATTTTATGTTTCCCCGTTATCTTAGTAAAGGTATTACTTATTCGATAAAAAAAAAGAGTTTTAAAAGAACATAAAAAAGATAGAATATAAAAAGAAGAAGTATAAAAAAATCAAATAAAATCAAATAAGTAGAAGATAAAGAAGAATACGAGGAAGGACCAAGGCAAAGAAAATAACCAGAAGCAAAATAAGTAATGTGACATGCGACGTGCAATCTGATACACTAATATTAAAGAAAAGTTTTTTCATTTTTAACTAATGCACACTTACAAATATATTTAACAGTAAAACTTAAATACAGAAAGTAAGAATATAAATCCACACCTAATTATAACAAGTTTAGAAGATTTAGAAGATCATATATGATAACATATTCTTTTACTATGTAATCACTATCTGTAATAAAGGTTTGTTTAATGTACTTAATATATAAACTATGTTTTACTTATAATTTGATAATCAGTTAAATATTAAAATATATTAAAAATTTTTTGATGAATTAAAAAGGTAATATTATTTATTAATGTATTATGTTAATGTATTATGATACATACCCACTGTGTTATAATTTGTATGTATCTGATAACTTAGACAATTTTGATTTTCACTGTCATACTTTATGTTAGATTTAACGGGTTTTAAAGAAAGTATGTAGTATACAAATTTTTATATTATATTTTTCTATATAATTCAAGAAGTATACTTTTTTTTTTTTTTGTATAACACTTATCTCCTTGTGTAATACTATGTATTGACGTATTCAAACAGAACATTATTATGAAATAATAAAAATTTTCCAAATACTAAAAAATAAAATAAACTTTTCTACCAATCCAAAATAAACTTAATTTCAATGTTAAATACATAATTAATGCCCGTATTACATTCTAATATAAATAAATAAAAATATATTTATAAAATATTATTATACAAAGCATATAAAGTGAAGAATTATTTTTAAAAAATTACATCTTGTTCCTATATTATTTTTATCCCATATTATTAATAATTAGTTAGTCTTATAATTAATAATAAAAAATATTTGAATATTAAATTTCATATAAAAATAATTTAATAAACTTATCAATTTCGTCAGAGGTTAAAAAATATGAAATTTTTAATTTTCATTACAACTATTTTTATAATACATTTGATTCAATGCGAATATAAATTTTTTTGTATATAATCTAATTATTCTATTGTATCTCAATTTATTGTATCTCTATTTATGGCTTAACTTGCATATCTCATCACAAAATTTTTTCGTTTTTTTCAATAGATAGTTAAAAAATACTTCTATCACTTCTAAATAATCAAAGAACTTTTAATTCAATTAATTTAATTTAATTTAATATTTGCGACAAAAGTATATTTAAGTATTAGAAGTACGTTTAAGAGTGCCTTATTATTTAATTTAAAATATTAAAAATTATTGATTAATACTAATTTAATTAAAAATCTATACATGCTTTTAAAATTCAAGCTTATTAATTTGCAAGTACATAAGAAGCACAAATAAAGATTATAATAAAAATTATCTTTCATGAAAACATTCATATCCTTTTTTATCCTTACTAACTATATAGAAAAAGATAAAACAATAATTTTAATCGTTTTAAAATGATTCTATAATGATAACATAAACAATAAATTTATACAATTATTTTGATATGAAAAAAAATTTTATGTCATTCGAAACAATTACTACTATGTACAATTATTTTTACACCCTTTTATATATAAAATCCGTTATATAGTTAACAATTTAAATAGCACCTTCACATTAAGTAATATGTATTGCTATATCAAGTAAATGTTTAAAAATAATTGCATTAAATTATAACATGATTTTATTAAATTTGATTAAAATTATTTATATATAAATTTTATATTGTTTTTATTGATTAGTTTCATGATAAATGATTAAAATATATGTATTAAAAATAATAGTTGTTTCTGAAAAAAATTATTAATGAGTAATTAACATTCTTATTATAATTACAATAATTGAATCATATCTTACATATAAATACATAAATTGAAAAATAAAATATATATCTAAATTTATTACTATAAAAAGCAATATTTTAAAACTATACTTAAAAGTATAAAAACTTTATGTTGTATAAATGTTGATCGATTGTCCATTGAAGCATTGAAATATGCTGAAAGTACAAGTAAACTTTAAAGAAGAATCGGATCTCTACTGATCTAAAAATCAAATTCGAATTGTACGATTTTCAAGATGGGCACTTTCCTCTCAACTAATGTACTAATACCATATATACTGGTTTTTAAAATTATCTTTACAATATAATTATTCTGAAAAATTAAGCACGCCACTAAGTCTCATAAGTGACGTATTTATCTTATTTTTTTTTAAACATATTCTAAACTTTAAAACACACAGGTAGAAATCTAAACTGCACAGGTACATCGAAAGTAAATTTATGTCTATATGATATTAATTATCCTTACAATGTTTAAAAACATAATTTTAGAAAACTAATTATATTAAATAACATTTTATCAATATATAAACACAATTAAACTTTATCGCTTGATATTAGTTGAATACATTGATAGGTTGTCAAAATTCAAATGTTACCATAATAATTTTTGCATAATAAATGATATAATTCTTAATCTAAAATTGCATAATAAATGATGTAAACTACTTAATAAATATTAATAAATTATAATATACTATTTAAAATTCTAAAAACCTATTTATAATTTTTTTAATTTCATCATTTCAATATTTACATTCATTATTGCATATTTCTGTCTGCTTATTTAGTATATACTCAATACCTTCGAGTCCATTTCGCCCTTGAAAATCACATAGCCAATGAAACTGTGATAGATAATATATGAATAAAAAATAGAAGAACCAAGAAAACCGAATACGTGCAGACACATTGGCATAAGGGCTGGAGAAGAGAACTTCTCCGTAAGGTTGTCTAATTAGCAAGCAAAAACGTGCTCTTTCATTTTACTACTGGGAAGTAATCTTACAGATCGAATCTGCCTTCGCTACGTGCTTGCATTACTAAGCAGCTCATTCGTTTTTTTTACTTTTTTTGCACATCCAAGAGAAAAAAGAATTTCGTACATGAATTAAAATTATTAACTATGTTACGATGTATTTGAGCAACAATAAGTGAGATTGTGTTATTTTTTTTTTTGTAAAAACGAGGAGAGAGATAAATTTTATAATCTAAATAAACAATATTTCGAAATTGAAAAAATTTATTTTTAATTCTTTAAATTACACAATGATAATTTATTTTTATAAAAGTAATTAATACGATTAATATTTAGTAGAATTAAAGAACTAGTAATTATGGATTGTATTATTTTTCGTTTATTAATAATTTTTCATAGAAAAAATGCGTGATTGACATCATGAATTTTATATGGTAGTGGGGTGGTATTATTAAAATGATTTTTCATTTATAACATTATTTATAAGAATAATAATATAATAATCAGTCATTTCTTTTTCAAACTTTGAAGCTACTTTTTATCTATATAAACATGTACAATGCAAGGAATTTTTAAGATTAATGCACTATGACGTGACGGTGAAATATATTACAGCTACTGTATGACGCATATCCATATTATAAAACTATTATGTAATACGTATTGTAGCCGCCAAGAAAAAAGAGGAACGCCAACACTTCATAGAATCGAAGAGTTACAATCATTTAAAACATGCGTACATAAATGAAGCTCCTCGTTGCCCGAGTTAATACATCCTACGAGAATAGAGACAAACGTTATTATTTCGCTCATGGTAATCAATGCACTAGAGCAACTCAACAAAATTCTTTCACTATACTTTATGATATAGAATTGAAATTGCTGTTTCTCTTAAATAAAATATAAATAGTGTTTACATTATATCTCTTTAGCTTTGATTTCTCAAATGATTACCTACTAATTTAAAAAATTACAGATAGAATTTGAGAGAATGTTTAGTGATGTATAATCATTATTATAAGAATTAGGTAAATGATTTAATTAATTTGATAATATGTATTTAACACATAGTTCAGACAATAATCTATTGATATCTAAGTTATTATTATATAATATAAGACTTGTCCTCTAAGATTTTAATTTGAAACGACTTGATTTTTAATGAAATGAAAATAAAACGAATCTTGCCTCCTTTGTGCTTTTTATAACAAACATATCTTCAATAAATATTGAATAAGTTCTAATAAAGTAAGATTTTAACGACATTTAAGTTTTGATAACAATACAAATATTGTTCATGAAATTCGAATTAGATTTTGAAGATGCTAATTCAATAAAATATTAAATAATAAAAATTGAATTCAAAGTAAAAACATATATTTCCATTATTGCAGATTAACCAGACGGTGAGCTTTGATGAAACATCAATAACGATAGTGAAAGAACGCGAGAAACGAATTTAGTCTGTTCAGCGACAACATTAATCGTGAGTTTTTATTTTAACTACTGCCATACATACACATCTCTCTGTATGTATAATTCATTTAAATTTGTTAACAATTAGTTTTTAATAATTAATTACCATGTATCAACAATTAAAACTAATCATTTTGGATACTACTATTTCATAAAAGTAGTTTTTGTTCTTAAATTTATTCTCTATGTAATTTTGTATATTTAATTATATTGATAATGAAATAATAAATATGCATTTATACAATATAATAAAAATACAATCATAAATAATGTAATAAATAATAAATAATTAATTTCTTTTATTTCATTGATAAATATAATTAAATTGCATTTCATACTTTCACTATAAGAATAAAATTATTGACTCCTAATATATTAATTTCATTAAAAAAAAAAAATATATATATATATATATATACATTTAATCATTGTGTTCTTATTAGAATAAATGATTTGAGAAATATTTTTAATTGTATAATGAAATAGATACATATAATTAAAATTAGAGTATAAATATTTCATTTACTATAAAAAATCTCTAAGTTGATATTATGTTATATATTTAAATAACAATAATATGAATAATATAAGTATATCATATATGTAGTAATATGGAATATTTTATAATTTAATATATTTTATAATTATAATAATTTTAATAGTCAACTTATAGAAAAATAATAAATGATTAAATAATTATCTTTAAAGATTTGAATTGTTGTCGTGTGACTTATTTTGATGAAAATTGTACAATTTGTAAATGATGAAATAAGTTCTTTTACTCTGAATGCAAAATCTATATCTACATTATTGATAGCAGATAAGAAAAATCATACGGAATAACTAATAGTATCTTCATAATTATTGTTATGAATAAGATATAAAATTTTTATACATAAATATTTTATTATATTTTTTTCGCTTAATTATTTATAACAATAATTATAAGTTATTTTTAATTATCTGATATATTTGAATTAACGAATAAGCTAAATTAAATAATATAAAATCGCTTTTATTAGTGTAGCAATAAATATTAAATACATTCTCACGTTAATTTAATAATAGATAATTTTCTAACCGAGAATAAATGAAAGAAAAAGAGAGGGAAAAAAGAGAACAGAAATTTGTATGGAAACTTGAGATATGAATTTTAAATCACAATTATTTCAATTATATATATATTACTAAAAATAATGTAATACTTTTTACGAATATATGACTAAAAATATAATTTAGGATAAAGTTATAATTGACTATAATTACACGTATATAATTATATGATATAATAATTATTGACTATAATTATACTACATTTGCTATTTATAGACAGCATAAATAAGAAATTGAATATATACAATGCAGTAGTCAACGAAAATCTCATTTCTAATTAAATTAAATATTCGCGTGTTAAAATTTTTATAAAAATAAAATTGTTTTGATGTTTTAGTTCAATGCACATTATGTTAATAATATCAACCACAATTTATGTATCGTATTGAACAAGTATATAATTTGTGCTAGTAATATAAAATTTATACAACTAATCATATATCTGAATAAGAATAATTTATCATTATATAATTAATAACATTTTTGCATTAAATTCTATTTATAGATTAAGCTTATAATAATTTAGTTATCTAATTTCAATTATATTATTATATAATTTTTCCATTATTATAATGTAATAATGTTATTAATAGTTCAAATGTATATTAAAAGTCGATTTTTCTGAACAAAACTGCTCGTTCTTTTATTTACTAAATTTATTATTCACTTTGTATCTTTATATATTTGTTTGATATTCCTGTATATAAATAAAATTGGAGAGCTTGTGTTAAAGTATTGAAGATGCAAAAGAAAAGTTAGTAATACTGAAAACTTTCCATCGCGTATTAGCTCTATTTCATAAAATCGTTCATTAAAACAATAATATATATATATATATATATATATGTATTAGAAGTCTACTTGATCTGTGTTTAATAATGTTCGTATTGTGTCTACGTTAAAAAAAAAAAAAAAAAAAAAAAAAAAAAAAAAAAAAAAAAAAAAAAAACTAAGAGTGTAAAAAGGACTAAATACACGAAGGCTTATGAACTGTAGTGAAAAACAGACGTACATGTAATACAAAGAGCGAAGAGGGCAAGAGTCATATAAATTGGTTACCCGCGGGGATGGGCAGCTTATGAGAATTGTTTCTCGGCTCTCCCCACTCTCCAGCCTGTCTTACCTCCCTCACTCACTCACTCAATTGTGCACGCACGCGCATCCCCCCCTCCCCGTCTCTCGCTCTCTCTCTCTCTCTCTCTTTCATACTGGCTTACTGCGTCTTGACGATGAGAATATGACCCAACGCCACCAAGGCACTTTATACACGAGGCTTTTGCCTCTCCCCTACTCCGACAGTGGGAGTACCGCAAGGGTCACTTCTTTCTTTCTTTTTCCTTAGCATGCAAAGATCATCGGTAACGCGAAAGGAGAGGAAAAGATGATGCGCAGCAATGCTTTGGTATGTAACGGAAAATGCAGAATAGTTCGAAGGCTAGGCGTCAATCGTCGCGTCTCAGCATGTGTAGCCGTAGGTGTTCGTGTTGGATAGTTCGATCATGGGGAAACGTTAGGAAACTGTTGTCTGTCGGGAGGAAGGCAGCGTCGATCTGCTTGCGATGGACATTAGTGTACGAGCGATATCGAGGTTGGCCATTTATACAGTTGCAAAGAGAGAGGACGTGACTTTGGTTGATTGTTTTGGTGTTGCACGTTTTGCTAGTTGCCCCTTGGCTTTCTTTCTTTCTCTTATTATTTTTGTTTTTTTTTTCGTCTTTCTGTCTCTCTTTCTTTATACCATTCTTCTGTTCAGTGAGCTTTGTACACATTATCTAGGATCTCAAGTGCCGGACTTATTTGGATACCTCTGTACTAACCTACATCTTAAGAGCATTTGAGATTGAGGTTCGGATAAATTTTCTTAAGTAATAAATCCCAAGACTTTTTCTTTATTTCGTTATCTACTCTAGTCTCTTCTATTATCTGTTATATCGTTTGAAAACAAATTTTTAATTTTATTTATTTATTTAAGTTTACTTAATCAATAATTTGCATATAATATAATATAAATTATATTCAATAATATTTTAGACACTATAATATTTTATTTCTTATATACATACATGATTAAGATCATTTAATACATTCGACAAATTAAAAAATCATTTATAACAAGTAAATCATTTTAAAAAGTTTACTAAATCTAAAAGTGTTCCCATTAAAAATATTAAGGCATATAAATGTAGTGATCAAAAAACTTATTAAAGTGAATAATTAATCTACATTAAGAAACAATCTATAATAATCTATAATAAGACACAAATCTATAATACAGTAAAATATATTGAAGATCATGAAAAAAATTAATTAGTTTGCCAAGAAATTTGAGACATAAATAAGATAATTTATTATTAATCACTAGTTTAATAAAGAATAAAGATTTTAATATGCATTTATCCTTTAACATAGATTTGAATTTCTCATATTCTGAAAGTAATTTCCAATATGATTTGACATTAGTGCAATTTGCATCTCATTATTATCATTTTGATACTGAATTATCAATTAAGGATTCTCCATTATATTCGAAAATAATGCTTAGAACAAAATTGCCTTCATAAAGTATTTTCTATTACTCAATATATGTGCAGAATAAATTTTATTGTTATTTGAATATTATAATATGACAATAGATCATTGGACTTAAAAACAACGATAATACAATAAAACGCTGGATATTTAAAACTATTTTACGAAGAGTCCTTTTTGTTTTGTTAATTATCTACGTATTCATAAAACATTTCTATCTTACGAAAATATATGATTAATGCATTATATAATATAAGGAAATATTTCACATTTAACGATGTTTATAGTTAACCAATTTTTAATTTGAGTACTTATAAGAATACATATTATTGTAATACGTATAAGAGCACATATATAAGATACATATATAAAAAATTTATAATTGAATATTATAAAAAGAAATTGTCATGATTTCTTAACGGTTAAATGTAGCCAATTATATTTTAATTTGTGAAAATAATAAAAAACACTAATTAAAAAATGTATTGTTTATATTCATATAATGAAGTAAAAGTATTTTAGGAAACAATTAAAAGAAATGCTCTAAAATTATATATATATATAGGTATATATATAAGGTTTATTAAATAAAATGAAAAAAATTTGAACTTAGTCTTGATCAAATAACTGCATACATATATCTTACTGCTTGGATACGTAAGGTGTAGCCATGTATAGCCTTAAATAAATTAAAAACGACAACAGAACGTACTCATAAACTCAAACTCAGTCCAGTTCTTACACAACTAACTGATGAGTTTGCCCAAGGGCTTATTCCTTGTCCGCCCATTCGGTAACTTCCCCCCCCCCCCACATATATATATATATATATATGTATATGTATATGTATATACGATGGGCTCCTATGTGAATATCCAATTAAATATTAAATTTTTTATCTTTTCTCCATATTTTCTCCATCTGCAAAGCTGCATATAATGCATAAAAATGCTACTTCGACAAATATTTCTATAATTAAATATCTTCGCGTGAAATTTTTATTATGTATCTACGTTTATTCTATTCCTATATTTATGGGTACTTTTGTTAATTAGAATTAAATGAAACGTTGCTTACAATCTCTCTACAAAATTCATTTCTTATTAAATAATTTATATGACAACTAATGCCCAAATATATTGTATTGTATTCAGTACGCTAATTAAATATATAAAGATGAATGTTATAGATACAACATAAAATATCATACACTAATTAAATCTGCCACTATAGAAAATTCTATAACTTTTTATATCTAATACATTTTTATTTAATGATAATTAATAACAACTTGAATAATAAATATTAAATATGATAAAATTATTTTCCATACATGTATAAGTAAATCCATTTGCTATCTTATATTTA